CACCTGTAATATCGGGGGGGGGGGGGGGGGCACAGAGGCAGGCTAATCTCTCAGTAAGAGTTCGAGGCCAGCCTGGTCTACAAAGAGAGTTCCAGGACAGCCAGGGCTGTTACACTGGGGGAAAAAAAGAAAAAAATCAAAAGCAGGATCCCTGGCTGCTGGGATCAAAGGAGGACAGAGAGAGAAGAGTGACAGGAAGCTGGGTGTGGTGGTACGGGGCTGTTATTCCAGTTACTGGGGAAACTGAGGCAGGGAATCACAAGTTCAGGGTACATGTGGGCTTCAGAGTTGAATGAAGGACAGCCTGGGCAGATTAGTGAGATCCTTGTCTCAAAACAAAAAGTACAAAGAGGGCTGGGTGTGCCAGTAGCTCAGCGTCTACAAAAACACAGACTGTCTGAAAGCAGTAACAAATCAGCTGGACGGCACCGGGCCCCAGGAGGCAGCCCTGACAAGTTTGGATACATTCTACAAGAATGGCAGATAGCCGGCAGAAGGGAGCAAGAATCAAGGACACCATGGGACGGCCTTCCCTGAAGACTGAGCACCACAGGTGCCCCCCCAGCTCCTCCCAGGATGCAATACTACAAGGATGCCCTGAGTCCCCCACAGGGGTTCTGTGGACACCCTCCAAGTCAACTTGTCCAACAGAGGGGCTCTGTCACCCACCAACACGCTCTCAAGGTGAAGCAACTCCATGAGAGAATGGAGTCCAGCAGGCAGACACACACACACACACACACACACACACACACACACGCATGCACACAGAGACACACACAGACAGACATACAGTGACACAGACACACAGAGACATAGACACAGACACACACACAAGCACGCACGCACAGAGACACAGACACACAGGCACACACATGCACACGCATGCACAAACGCAGATACACATGCACACAGAGACAGACACACAAGCACGCATGCACACAGAGACACACAGAGACATAGACACAGACACACACACAAGCACGCACGCACAGAGACACAGACACACAGGCACACACATGCACACGCATGCACAAACGCAGATACACATGCACACAGAGACAGACACACAAGCACGCATGCACACAGAGACACACAGAGACATAGACACAGATACACACACCCAGACCCTGGTCTCAACCACAGAGGCAGCTGCAATTTTCTCCTGCAAGGCCAAGATCGTGGACCATGAGCCCCTCAGGTCAGTCCCACAAGTCCCCAAAGCCATCTATCTGGATGTGCTCAAATGCTACATCCATCGGGTGGCAGGGTGGGGGCCCCGCTGCGGCGGTCAGGTACAGTGAGCAGGAGGATGCCAAATCAGCCCCCACAGCCGCTCACTGCCGGTCTCCTGCTGGTGCGTGTGCGCGCGCGTGAGTGCGTGCGTGCGTGTGTCCAGATGTTCTCAGCAGGCAGGGGCAGCAAAAGGCAAATATGGAGCCCTGCCCAATGGCAAGGAGCCCCGCCCAATGGCAAGCACCTACACCTACTGAGTGCTGACCAATTACTGCGGCTGCTCCCAGCGCCTGCAGCGGATTCTCAGTTTGTTTGTTTACTTGCGCACTGGGCCTTCTCACATGCTAGGCAAGTGCTCACCCACAGAGCTAAATCTCCAATCCTTTTTGTACATTTAATTGTTGAAACAAGGTCTTGCGTAATTACCCGGGCCAGTCTTGAACCTGTGGTCCTCCAGTCTCAGCTTCTTTCAGTAGCTGGGATGACAGGCCTGCTCAAGGCTTCATACATATTTTCTAACTTTTCAATTTATTGTGTGATGGTGATGGGGGATGTCCTTCTGTGTGTGTGTTTCTCTTACTGGTTGATGAATAAATACTGATTGGCCAGTAGCCAGGCAGGAAGTATAGGTGGGGCTACCAGATGAGGAGAATTCTGGGGGAGAGAGAGGAGAGATGCCACCAGAGAGACGCCATGTAGCCACCAAAGGAGCATTCTCTGGTAAGCCTAAACCACATGGAGATACACAGTTAAATAGAAATGGGTTAATAATTAAGAGAGAGCTAGCCAGTAAGAAGTCTAAACCATCGGCCAAACAGTTTATAATTAACATGAGCCTCTGTGTGCTTATTTGGAACTGAAGCGTGTGGCGTTGGAAAGAAACACCGTCTGCATGATGGTATGCACAGATGTGTAAGAACACACAACACCCGAGTATAGACCCACGGAACACGCCAGGTGTCTTCCTCTAGGCGTCCTCTCAAGGAGGTCTCTCGCCAAACCTGAAACCTGATCCTTTGGAAGGCTAGCTGACCAATCTCTCCCAATCTCTCCTGCCCGCTCAACGGCACAGCCAGGCTTGGCCCTTTATAGGGGTCCTGGGACTCAAACTCAAGTCCTCCTGCTTGCACACCAAACACTCTTGCCCACTGAGCCATTTCCTCACACGTTTCTAAAGTAAACTTACAAAGAGAGGCCCCCGCACCTTTTCCCAACCATCTTCCGAAAACCAACCACGAGGTCCACTCCCCCTCCCCCTCCCCCACCCCCACTCCTCCATCCCCCCTCCCCCACCCCCGCCTAACAGCTCCACATGCCCAGGGAAAAGAGTAAGCCACTGCCAGCCCTCAGCTCCAACTTTCCACTTAGAAGTTCCACTCTTGGGGCTGGAGAGATGGCTCAGAGGTTAAGAGCACTGACTGTTCTTCCAAAGGTCCTGAGTTCAATTCCCAGCAACCACATGGTGGCTCACAACCATCTACAATTCAATTGGGTGCCCTCTTCTGGCATGTAGGCAAAATACTGTATATGTAATAAATAAATAAATCTTTAAAAAAAAAGAATTACAAAAATACACAGAGTGCAGCGCAGGCTAGACCACTCACACTGATAAAGCCCATGACCGTGCAGCGCAGGCTAGACCACTCACACCGAAGGCTGGGACGCTTTCCCCATCCCCCTTCCCTACAGCTAAACTGAGGAGCAGTGGCAACAGCTTACTCAAGACGATGAAGTCCAGCGGGGGTGTCAGCGCAGTGACTGTGGGAGACCCCAGGTCCAATCGCAGGGTGGGGTGCAGCTACCTGCCCATCGGCGGGCTAGACCGTGCTGACAGCAACACTCAGCTTTGGAAGACACGAGCCACGTGCTTCAGTTTGCCGGCCTTTGAGGCACCGGCTCACTGCAGCCCAAGCCTCTCTGAAACTCTCAACCCCTGTGCCTCAGCTCCCCAAGGGCTGTGGCAAAAAGCCCCTAGAAAGAGAACACAAAGCTGGGTTTCTTGGGTAGGGTTCTTAGCTGACCAGAAGACAGAGAACGCTCCAAAACACTTTTCAGTCACCACTGCCCGGCAACAAAACGCATCCTGCTATGGGTTGGCAAGAGGCTTGCCGCCTGATGACCTGAGTTCAATCCTCGGACCACACATGTTGGAAGGAAAGAACCAACTCCCTCAGATTTCTGACTTTCCACATGTGTGTCGTGGTATACATGCCCTCATCTATCCACACACTCAATATATAGACAGACAGAGATATAGAGTGTATGTGTGTGTGTGTGTGGGTGGGTGGGTATACAGTATGTGTGCATACATATGGATGTATACATAAAAATAAACAAACTGGTACAGAATCTAATGTCTAATCAACCTACTTTCGCCCACCACAAAAGAAAATAAACCAGGAAACACACCAGCACCTACTTAACACTGAGCCAGATCCCACCAGGTTCCTGAAGAATAACTCTGTTCTCTCCCCACATGGCACAGGGCAGAGAGAGGACACACAGGTGTTCCTCTGTGGCAAACAGGCACCAATCCCTGGCAGACTCCTGAATGCTAATCACTAGCAACACCGTTTTCAGTCCTGGAGAAACCTCCAGCCTCGTGGCTTTAAAATGGGAGTCGTATCCAAGTGTGGTAAGTTTCTCGACCAAAAAAGGCACCCTCCCTCCCCCAGAAGACTAAAAAGTTTGCCAATGGGCCTTCATGGGTCGTCACTCCTATCAGGGAGGTATCCCAAGACGGTACAAGAAAGCACTTGTGGGCACTAATCAACGACGAAGAAACGGTTGTTTTTCCTGTTTCTCAGACAACAACAACAACAAAAAAAAAAGGTCATTGTGTCCAGACTGTCCTATTGTATTCACTAAATAATCAGGACAGCCCGATACAGGAGTGTTCTGGAACAATGGACAAATCGCATTACACGGACACGAAATCCACAAGCGCTGGGGATTAGAGGAGTCAGCCAGGGAAAACCGGCCTAGTAAAGATTATTTCGGAAGAAAGCTGCCCGGAGAGGGTCTGCAGTCTCCGGACCAACCCCAGAGCAGAGCCTCAGCGCCGCACAGGGTGGAAGGCACTCCCCCTGGGTACCAGGGTCCCGGGCATCTCCACTGCACCCCAAACCCACAAAGCGGGGCAGAACGGTCTCCTACCCTTCTCTTGCCACGTCCTTCCTGTTCCTTTAAACTTTCCCGGTCGCATTTAGGCAGAAAGGATGAGAAAAAAACATGATGCCAAGGTAACAACAGGGAGGTAAAACAAACGGTGGGGGAGGGATCCCCAACACACGGGGAGTGAAGTCCCTTTGTAGAGACGGGGTGAGTGCTGCGACTGGGGGACCCCTACTCCTCCAGGGGACGGAAAACCCCCACTTGACCGCCTCCAGCAGAACCCCCAAAGCAGAGAGGCCCCTCCCCGCGCACGCCCAGCAATCCCGGAACCGGGTCCGCAGAGTCTGGCCGCGGCGGCTGCGCCCGGCCCGGATGGTGGGTCCCCACGTCTGCAGAGCCAGGCTCGGGCTGGGGAGCCGCTGGGCCCGCGCGTCCCCCGCGTCCCCCAGACCTCCCCGACCGCCCCGCGGCCCGACACCTACCCAGAGCCGGTCGGAGCCATCAGAGCTGCAAAAGCTGCGTAGCGCCATGCGGGCGGGCGAGCGGCTGGCTGAGCGAGGAGCCGCAGCGCCGCGCGGTTGGCCCGCGTCACCGGGATGCAGCCCCGCCCCGCCCCGCCCCGGCCCCGCCCCGCGCGTGGGAGCAAGCGAGGCTCCTCGGGTTCTCCCTCCGGGTTGGGCGTGCAGGCCGCGGCTGCAGCTCCCAGCTCCAGCCGGGGCCCTAACGCCGACACGGCCGCGAGGAGCCCCCGCACTGGGCCCTTCCACTCCCTGGCTTCGTCCCAGGCGATCCTCACTGGACAGCCTGTCCCCTGCTGCGGGATCTGGAGCTTTTTTTTTTTATTTTATTTTCTTTAACTCCAGAATCAACTGGCGGGGTAGGGATGTGAGCTTCCCCAGGACAGATGAGGAAACTGAGGCCCAAAGAGGCGAGGAGACTCGATCAGGGCCACTCAAAGGATTCCATCCCAAACGCTGAGGTCTCCATCCCAAACGCCTGTTTGCCACCCCCCACCCTCCTCCTCCTCCCACTGTCTGCAAAGCACCCTGGGAATTTCTCCCACTCTTGGGCAGCCAGGAAGTAAGTCCTTTCCTTGTGGTTTCTTGGTTTGGGTTTGGGAGGTTTGGGGACAGGGTATCACATAACTAAGTCTGGCCTCTAATGCACCATGTGGTAGATTACGGTCTTGGACTTCTGATCTCCTGCCATCTTTTTTTTTTTTTTCAAGACAGGGTTTCTCTGTGTAACCCCTGGCTGTCCTAGAACTCGATTTGTGGATGAGACTGACCTAGAACTCAGAGATCCACCCGCCTTTGCCTCCCACGTGCTGGGATTAAAGGCCTGCGCCACCACATCTTGGTCACCTAACCGGCTGGGTTAACGTGGTGCTGAGAACAGAACCCAGGACGTCCGCCATGCTCGGCGAGCTCTCTGCCTCCTGAGCTACGCCACTCCAGCCCCTCGAAAACACTTTGATTTAAAAAAAATTACAATAAAAGTAAACGAGTAAGATAAACATACCTTGTGAGGATCAGCCACAAGCCAGAGAATGTGTTAGGTTCGGGAGGCGGAGGCGAGAGCGAAACAGTCGCCTAACCCCACCCCCATGAAGTAGAGAGCCGGCGAGAACCCAGGTACTGATGTTCGCCATGGAGGCAAAGGACACCGAAGCCTGGACACACAAGGCTGCTTAACATTCACGGCTAGAGAGCTACTCAAGGCTTCATGCTTAGCAATATGCAGACACTAACCTGAAACTCACATAGCAACCCATGAAGTGCGTAATGTTACGTTATTCTTCCTATTTCTCAGGTTGGAGACCAAACAGAAAGCAAAAGCAACTTGTCAGAGATGACTTGCGTGGTGATGACCGAGCAGTCCTGCTTGGGGAGGGGGGACGGCCAGTGGAGAGAACACATGGGTGATGATACTGCCTCATACTGCTTAAGATACAGACACGGGGGGGGGCTGGAGAGATGCTCAGAGGTTAAGAGCACCGGCTGCTCTTCCAGAGGTCCTGAGTTCAATTCCCAGCAACCACATGGTGGCTCACAACCATCCTTAATGAGATCTGGTGCCCTCTTCTGACCTGCAGGGGTACATGTAGACACAATACTATATACATAATAAATAAAAAAAATTTTAAAAAAAAGATACAGACACTGAAGAGCTGGCTGGGCCCAAGCCCAGGAGTCTAAGCTTTTCAATGACCCCAGCAAGGCCTCTCCTCTCTCCTCCTCCTCATACGTGTCTGCCTGGTGCACAGTCCCCATTAGCATGCGCACAGGCAGCTACTGCAAAGGAAAAAGAACAACGGAGTGTACAAATGGGAGCCCACATACACAGAGATCTTAGTGAAGGGAGAAGGAAGGACACGGGATTCTTCTGTGGTTCTTTGGCTGGTCCAGGTCCCCCTCAATATGAGTGAGGCTTTGGTTGGTTGGTTGTTGTTGTAATATTAATAGTACTTATTTATTTGTGTGTGCATATGTGTGGGAATGCATGTAAATTACTAGTGGAAGTCAGCGGACAGCCTGGGAGAGTCATTTCTCTTGGAACCAGGGTTCTGGGAATCCTGTCCCAGGTCGAGAAGCTTGGTGGTAAGTGCCTTTACCTGCAGATCCATCTTTATGAGTGAGTTTTAAAAGGATAATGACTTTCAGGTGACAGTTCTCAATGCAGTGGTACCCATATTTATTGAGCATCTGCTGTATACCAGGGGTCATGCCCCTAGCAAGCTAGTAAGTAGCTGAGGCATGTTCAAATCTGATAGATGTTAGAATGGTGATGTATTTTCAATTATTTTGGTGATAAGGAAGGAGCTACTGATCACAGAATTTTGTAGCAGAAAGTGTGTTTACAACTGCCGCAAGATCCAGGAAGAAAAGGAGATAAAGGGGGTCTGAAGGGGGCCGGGCCTGCTCAGGTAAAAGTCAAGAAGACTTTCTGGAAGACAGCTTTTGAGCTAAACACAAGCAGAACTGGGATTCCAGCCCGGGCTGTGTCCTGAGCTGAAGAAAAGCGGCCTGTGGGGAAACCAGAAAGCAGCCAAGACTGGTGCTGTGTGCACGTGGTCTCCACTAGGGAGACTGAGGAAGGAAGATTCTGAGTGTCAGCTTGTAAGCCCTGTTGCGCAAACCTGAGAACCTGGTTTCCGATCTCCAGCATCCACGCCAAATGCACCCGTGTGTTTAAAAAGGAAAGATACCCATGTGTCAGGCACATCTGTAACCCTAGTCCTGGGGAGATAGACACAGGCAGATCCCTGGAGCTCGCCAGACAGCCTGACAGCCTAGTTGTAAAGTCCTGGGAGCGTGCTGTGGACAAGGCCAGTGAGATGGTTCCTCTAGCAAAAGCACTTGCACGCAAACCTAACAACCGGAGTTCAGTGCCCCAGTCCCTCAGGTAACGGGAGAGAGTTGGCTACTGAGGCTCTTTTCTGGCCACCACAAGTGCTCCATGACACGCCGATGCCTTCACTCACACATACGACCAAAGTGAAAGTAACTTCACTGGAAAAGTAAGGTGGAAGGTTGGGCAGGGTGGAACCAGGCAGACCTATAGATAGATGACAGATCTATAGATAGATAAATAGATGATAGATAGATAGATAGATAGATGACAGAGATAGATGATAGAGATAGATGATTATAGATAGATGATAGATGATAGACAGATAGATAGATAGATAGAATAGCAACTGAGTCTTGAAGACATCCAAGAATACATGTGCACCACACACACACACACACACACACACACACACACACACACAAGAAAATGAACAGCCATGAAAGTGAGAAAGACCTTAGAGGAACCAGCTTAGGAGCAGGATGGGGACAGGGAAGCAGGAGGTACACATATGGCCTAGGATGGAGTTACTAGGACCTGAGCGTGCAGGGTTATGCTGGTCGGGGAAGACCCTGGGAAGAGTCACTGATGGGATTTAGGTAGGGGCGGGAAGAGAAAGCATGATCTCTTTCCATTCTTAGCCTCTTGACTCACTTTTTCTTTCAACAAATCTTTGCTCCTTTTCAAGTTGTTGACTTTGTAGAAGAAGACACCAGATTTTCCACATAGAGCCACAGGCATGGGGGAAATACACGTGGAAGGGGTGACAAGCAGCTCCTGCAAGACATTAGCTATGCCCTGAGGTCTGGTTCCAGCCCTTGAACCTGTTGCTCACTGACAGTCCTCTTGCACAGGGACGTAATCAAGAGTCATCTCTTTGCCCCAGCTGTGGTCCTGCAGCTGATCCAGGACCCCGAGTTAGAGGAGCACTCGAAGACACAAGTGTCTTAGACAAATCATTGTTGTTTCAATGTCGTTACTCCACGGGCATCCAGTTGAACTGGTCTGGGTAGAAAGCATCCTTATGAGATTGCGACGCTTAGAGTAAACATTGAATTCAGTCCTGACCTAAGCAGTCCCGGGCTGTACCCCCCATGTGGCCACCCACAGCAGAAGGAGCGGCAGCTGGGCTATCTATCAGTGGTTGAGATAGCACCACTCTCTAATCTCCGAGGGGCGGCAGCAGCTTCTGGGGGTGGGGGTTTGAGGAGTACCCTGGTTGTAGTTCATCCTTAGGCTGGCTGGGCTCTGATCTAGGCCTCAGTCCCCCACCTCTGGCTCAAAGAAGGTCCTTCCAGTCCTGCGGATTACTTTACTTCTGCTGGAAGGAGCGCCACAGGGTATGTGGTCCCCTATGGGTTGCATTGGGTGGCGTAGGCTGTGAGTGCGCCCCTAGAGGAAGGTTCCGGGTTAAACACAGACACAGTAGCCACTAGCGTGTGTGTCTTGGTAGAAGTTTAGACAAGACAGAGGTCAATAGTTTTGCTGAATGCCTGAGAAGAGAAAGGAGAAAAGGGGAGTAGGTAAGAGAGCCAGGAAAGAAAAAAGAGGAGCGCGGGGGTGGGGGGTTGCATGGCAGGCTTTTGACATCCAAACTCAGATCCTCATGCTTGCTACAGCTCGGATCCTAGAACCTCTCTCCCTCTCCCCCTCTCCTCCCTGTTTCCCTCCTTCCCTCCCTCTCTCCCCGACTTCTGCTTAACAGTGGGACCAGCTGGGTGGTGGTGGCGCACGCCTTTAATCCCAGCACTTGGGAGGCAGAGGCAGGCAGATCTCTGTGAGTTTGAGACCAGCCTGGTCTACAGAGTGAGTTCCAGGAAAGCCAAGGCTACACAGAGAAACCCTGTCTCAAAAACAAAATAAATAAATAAATAAAAATAAGAAAAGAAGAGTGAGACCAGGCAGTACTTGTCTTTCTGTACTATGTTCACTTCACACAGAGGCCTCCAGGTCCACTCGTGCTGTCTCTTATGGAAACAACTCCTCAGGCTCGCGGTTTGGATGCTTGGTCCCAAGCCACCGGCGCCCTACTGAAAGACTGTAGAAACTGGCTAGGTGTGGTAGGCGCATGCCTTTAGGCGCTTGGGAGACAGAGGAAGGAGAATCTCCATGAAGCAGAGGCCAGTGTGGTCTACGTGGTGAGTTCCAGGCCAGCCAGGGCCGCACAATGACACCCTGCCTAAAAATAATAACAAATGGTGACTTTCTGAGACGGCGGGGATTTGAGCAAGTGGGGCCGCACTGGGAGAAGTAGGGCCCCAGAAGAGGACCACCCTGGGGTGTGTTACCCCTTTAGGATATGACATCTGTCCTCCATCCACCATTGGCTGGGCGCTCTGAAGCCCTGAGCCAAAATAAACCCTTCAGGGCTGGAGAGATGGCTCAGGGCTAAGACCAGCAGTAATGTGTGTATGCCCACCCTATCTTCTTTATCCATTCACCCACTGGTGGGTGCCTCGTCTGACTCCATATCTTGAAGCAGTACAGCAAAGGATGCAGACGGCCAGACGGCTCCTTCAAATCCAATTTCATTTTCTAAACCCAAAGCAGCATGCAGGGGAGTAGTGCCCGGCTGGGGAGAATGCAGGGGAGTAGTGCCCGGCTGGGGAGAATGCAGGGGAGTAGTGCCCGGCTGGGGAGAATGCAGGGGAGTAGTGCCCGGCTGGGGGAGAATGCAGGGGAGTAGTGCCCGGCTGGGGAGAATGCAGGGGAGTAGTGCCCGGCTGGGGGAGAATGCAGGGGAGTAGTGCCCGGCTGGGGAGAATGCAGGGGAGTAGTGCCCGGCTGGGGAGAATGCAGGGGAGTAGTGCCCGGTTGGGGGAGAGTGCAGGGGAGTAATGCCCGGTTGGGGGAGAATGCAGGGGAGTAGTGCCCGGTTGGGGGAGAATGCAGGGGAGTAGTGCCCGGCTGGGGAGAATGCAGGGGAGTAGTGCCCGGCTGGGGAGAATGCAGGGGAGTAATGCCCGGTTGGGGGAGAATGCAGGGGAGTAGTGCCCGGTTGGGGGAGAATGCAGGGGAGTAGTGCCCGGCTGGGGAGAATGCAGGGGAGTAGTGCCCGGCTGGGGAGAATGCAGGGGAGTAGTGCCCGGTTGGGGGAGAGTGCAGGGGAGTAGTGCCCGGTTGGGGGAGAGTGCAGGGGAGTAGTGCCCGGTTGGGGGAGAGTGCAGGGGAGTAGTGCCCGGCTGGGGGAGAATGCAGGGGAGTAGTGCCCGGCTGGGGAGAATGCAGGGGAGTAGTGCCCGGTTGGGGGAGAATGCAGGGGAGTAGTGCCCGGCTGGGGAGAATGCAGGGGAGTAGTGCCCGGCTGGGGAGAGTGCAGGGGAGTAGTGCCCGGCTGGGGGAGAGTGCAGGGGAGTAGTGCCCGGCTGGGGAGAATGCAGGGGAGTAGTGCCCGGTTGGGGGAGAGTGCAGGGGAGTAGTGCCCGGCTGGGGAGAATGCAGGGGAGTAGTGCCCGGCTGGGGAGAATGCAGGGGAGTAGTGCCCGGTTGGGGGAGAATGCAGGGGAGTAGTGCCCGGCTGGGGAGAATGCAGGGGAGTAGTGCCCGGTTGGGGGAGAGTGCAGGGGAGTAGTGCCCGGTTGGGGGAGAGTGCAGGGGAGTAGTGCCCGGCTGGGGAGAATGCAGGGGAGTAGTGCCCGGCTGGGGGAGAGTGCAGGGGAGTAGTGCCCGGTTGGGGGAGAATGCAGGGGAGTAGTGCCCGGTTGGGGGAGAATGCAGGGGAGTAGTGCCCGGTTGGGGGAGAATGCAGGGGAGTAGTGCCCGGTTGGGGGAGAATGCAGGGGAGTAGTGCCCGGTTGGGGAGAATGCAGGGGAGTAGTGCCCGGCTGGGGAGAATGCAGGGGAGTAGTGCCCGGTTGGGGGAGAATGCAGGGGAGTAGTGCCCGGCTGGGGAGAATGCAGGGGAGTAGTGCCCGGTTGGGGGAGAGTGCAGGGGAGTAGTGCCCGGCTGGGGAGAATGCAGGGGAGTAGTGCCCGGTTGGGGGAGAGTGCAGGGGAGTAGTGCCCGGCTGGGGAGAATGCAGGGGAGTAGTGCCCGGCTGGGGAGAATGCAGGGGAGTAGTGCCCGGCTGGGGGAGAGCTGGGTTACATGGCTCTTCTGCTTTTAAGGGCTGGGGCTGGGACTATATCAGAGTACAGAAACGGTGTACGTTTTGATAGAGACTGCCAAACCACCCTTCCGAAAGACACTATTAATTCTCTTGCCATAAGAGGACTCATGGAAGATTGATGACGTTGGGGCAGAGGCTAGGGCGATGGTAACAGGGTATAGAGTTCCTGCTGTGCGAGTGAGGGCACCGGAGTTTGAACCCCCCACCACACACATAAAACACATGGAGGAGCACATGTGTGACCCTTGCGCTCTTATGAAGATATGGGGCAGGAGACTCCCAGAAGGACAGGAGGTAGCTAGAAGTGAACAGCAGAGACACCCTGCTTTCAGATGGGGCAGAGTGTGATAAGAAAAGCAGGCTACAGGATACAGGAGCAGATGAATACCCATGCACGCATGCCTACAGCACACACATGCATGTATGTACACAGCACATGTGAGAACAAAAGCAGGCTGTGGTACAGGAGCAGATGAGTACCCATGCATACAGCACACACATGCACGCATGCCTACAGCACACACATGCATGTATGTACACAGCACACACACACGTGCATACAACAGAGAGAGAGAGAGAGAGAGAGAGAGAGAGAGAGAGAGAGAGAGAGAGAGAGAGAGAGAGAACAAAATAAAGTAGGAGACGGTAAGTGTGGGGAGGGTCCCCACTCTTCCGTGCTGCTGAACTAGACTGGCGTTCAAATCGCAGGTTCTTCCTGTTGAAAGCACATCTGAACTTCTCATCTGCCTCCTTCCCCAAGACTGCAGCTCTCAACAATGAAGCCTCGTTTAGAGTTCTTCTCTTGCCGGTGCTGGGGTCAAACTTCCCCATCTCTACTTTTCAGAAGAAAGCACCTCCAAGTGCTGTAGCTGTGTTACAGAGTGCTCGCCTACCACGGAGAAGGCCCTGGCTCAACCCCCAGCAGCGCGAAGGCCCCAATCCTCTTCTCCATGCAAGCTCTTCAGAGATTTGAAAGCTGTAGTAGATGCTGTTCAAGGGTGCTCCTTCTGAGAGGATCCTAGACACAACCACACACAACCTGGCGGTGAAGACAGTACTCCTGAGACCAGTGAGCTCAGCATTCCATCATAAGAGCTCTGGGGTCTCCTAAGGGTGGGTTCAAGTCTCTATTATCTCCTTTCCTAGCTAGGGCCCAGTTTTACACACACACACAACACAGAGGAAGGGAGAGACCCAGTCACTGTGTGGGGATGGAGAGGCAGAAGAGGTTGTGTTTCAGTTTGCATATTGTTTTCATAATGGGGAAGTCCTGTGTATATGTCAATAAAGCACTGCTGGCCAATAGGGAAGCAAGATAAGTGGGACTAGGAGTTGAGGAGGATTCTGGGAGAGACACAGACAGTCATGATGTAGCCACCATAAGAATAAGAGGTCCGGGCCACATTCTCTAGTAAGAGAAATACTTAGATTAACAATTATGGATTAAATACTTGAGTCAGAAATAGCCAATAAGAAACAAGCAAACGGCCAACAGCTTCATAATTAATATAGCCTCCTGTGTGTTCATTTGGGACTGATGCGGCTCTGGAGCCAGGCTGGCGGGAAGGCTGCACTCTACATTTCAGATATTTTTTGTTGCCTCGATGAAATAACATTACCAGAATCAACTTTCAGAGTTTGTTTGGTTCATGGTTCCAGAGGGATAAGAGTCTATCTTGAGACAAGGTGTGACAGAGACATCAGGAGCAGGAAGATGAGAGCGATCACATTTCATCCACAGAAAGTATCTGAAAGGGACAAGGCCGTAAACTTTCAATGCCTGACCCCAATGGCATATTTATACCACCTCCTGTTGGGGAAGTCCTGTGTATATGTCAATAAATTACTGCTGGCCAATAGGAATCTAGATAGGTGGGGCTAGGAGTCCAGGAGGATTCTGGGAAGGAGAAAGACAAGAGAGTCAACATGTGACGCCATGGGGGTAGGACGCCGGGAACTATTCTCCGGTAAGAAACATACTTAGATTAACAATTATGGGGTAATTACTTAAGGCAGAGCTAGCCAGTAAGGGACAAGCAAGGCCAACAGCTTCATAATTAATACAGCCTCCTGTGTGTTTATTTGGGACTCATGCGGATCTGGAACCAGGCGGGCGGGACGGCTTCTCTCAAGGAAAGCTTCTTGTAACATAATGGTGATCAGGAGTGGGATTGAATTTCCACGTAGAATGACAAAAGATTTATAGGAATTTTAGAAACAGAAGAACGGAGAGAAGCACAGATTTTTGGTAGCAGCATTTTTCTCAGGTGTGCTCTGTTTTGCTATGGACAAGCCGAGATTCACGTGGCTCACTTCCGGAGTCTTTCTGACTCGGCATAAAAAGAGAAAAAAAAAAACCAACAAGGTTGTTTTAAGAGACTCTGCTAACGATTTAAAAGTTGTACGTACAGCTGGAAGTGGCAGCTTTTGCTGGATGTCAGCATGGACTGAGGCGGTAAGCTGCAGTCACGCTTACGCCCGCCATCTTGAAACGGCAGTTTAAAACAGCCAGTTTTAACAGATAAGACACGTGGCCAGAAAAACGTAAAGATTTACAGTAAAGTCAGACTTGGATAAAGAAAAACCTCTAAAGGTTTACAGTGTGTTTAAAAATATACGTGAGATTGAGAGAGAAAATGAAACGGCAAAGTGGTAAATAAATAGAAAAGCCGGCGTTGTGGTGGCGCACGCCGGTAGGATTTACTCCAGAGGCAGAGGCAGGCGGATTTCCAAAGAGAAACCCTGTCTCAGAGAAAAATAAATAAAAGTAAAAGAAATAAAGTAATAATAGATAAATAAATAAGCCACGTAAAGATGGAAAATACACAGAGAGTCTGGATACTGTACGCTATTGTGTTTTTCAGTTTTTTGCTTGCTCAGGAAGGAACAGCTGCTAAAGTACACTTGATTATAAATGCTGCTGAATTAATCCAACTTCTATCTTTTGAAAATGCCTTGACTTCAAAATTTAAGTATAAGGATATGTTACTTGGGAAAGGAAATTTTGCTTATGTTTCCACAGAAAATGAAAAGCTGAGGATTCCTTCCAGACTTCTGTGGTTTGACGAACCAAGACCCCCAGAAGCAGTGGGCCAGGCGTTTCAACAATTGAGACAGCTAAGATGATGGAGCTTTACAGACCCCGAAAATAAGGACTTATACAGGTTTCTGAGTTTTGTCATGATCCCCATGGTGTGAACAGCGCCCCCTTCCAGCAGGAAGCAGTTTGGAATGAGCGACGTCCTGATTCCCATCTTGTTTATAAATCTTTGTTTTCATTTAAATGGGATTGTTTATAATTGGCTAGTGATCACAGCCAATCTTTTTTAATGGTAAAAAAGGGAATTATATTATGGGTATTGTTTTTCATTTATTGATACTAATTCAAAGTCAATTTTGTGATAAGTATATTTCTCCTCTTGACTAAGTATTGTACTTATACTGTTCTTTTAAAATGTAATGCATAATTGAATACAGACTATAGATAGTTACTTATAATAGAATTTATAGTTAGGTAAGTTAGGTTTTCTAGATATACAGAAATATATTTGAGACAGATAGACAGTCTTCAAACCTCTCAAAGACCTTCAGAACATGGCATTTAAAATGGTCTAGGGTTTTTTTGACAATGAGAAATGTCTGCTCCTGGCAGCACCAATTATGTCTGAGAGGAAGATGGGCATCGAAGAAACTTGTTATGGAGTTTGCTTTCGACATGGCAAGATTAGCCATTTGGGCAAGAAACTGCTCTTGCCTAGACTGTTTGACTGCTGTTGTATAAACTGGACATGCAGGACCCACAGGAAAGTGACTACTGAACTCAGTCTTACAGGGTTCCTGCTTCATGAAGAGTCTACGAGACTTTCTGCAGGACAAAGAAAAATGACTGACAGACTGCCAACGCACATGGACAGTTTGAAATTTCCTGCTTTGCTGAGAAGTGTTCCAGACACATTGTGGCCTATGGGCTGAAGATGGATGCCCCAACGTTACAGAGGAACTTTGGGTGACTGTCCAGGCAGTAAGATGTCTCTGTCAATCCTAGTGTTTATATATTATCCTTCTGTGGTCTTTGATGGAGTTGAAGACAGATAGTTATAATTATAGTTTTCCTTAGTTATGATAAAAGATAAGCTACATATAGGACTTTGGACTCACAAGGATGGGATGGATGATATTTTCTTTAGATCTTGCTAAATGTTAATAGACAAAATGTTGTAACTGTGTTCTTACTTGATAACTGTTCTGTCATATACAATTTGACTATGTTAAAGTTAAGACCTTTCTTTTTGTTTAAACAGAAAAGAGGAGATGTTGGGGAAGTCCTGAGTATATGTCAATAAATTACTGCTGGCCAATAGGAATCTAGATAGGTGGGGCTAGGAGTCCAGGAGGATTCTGGGAAGGAGAAAGACAAGAGAGTCAACATGTGACGCCATGGGGGTAGGACGCCGGGAACTATTCTCCGGTAAGAAACATACTTAGATTAACAATTATGGGGTAATTACTTAAGGCAGAGCTAGCCAGTAAGAGACAAACAAGGCCAACAGCTTCATAATTAATACAGCCTCCTGTGTGTTTATTTGGGACTCATGCGGATCTAGAACCAGGCTGGTGCGGCAGAGCCCAGGCGACTGGCGGGGGATAACCAAAGTGGCTAGCAAAAGAAAAAGCTTCTCTTAACAACCTCCCAAAGGTCCGTAACCTGCAGAGAGGTGGTGGTGCACACCTGTAATCCCAGCACTCTGGAGGCAGAGGCAGGCGGATCTCTGTGAGTTCGAGGCCAGCCTGGTCTACAAGAGCTAGTTCCAGAACAGCCTCCAAAGTCACACACACACACACACACACACACACACACACACACACACAACAACAACAACAAAAATAATAGCACTCACCTAGTAGCAATGCCTTACATTGTGACTTTTGTAGGTCCCCCTTTCTCAATAAAATATGTAGATGATAGATAGATAGATAGGTGATAGATACATTAGATAGATGATTGATAGACAGACAGATAGACAGACCGCGTTAGTAGAAAAAAGTCAGGCCAGGGCATGCACACTGGGAATCTCAGCACTCAGAGGGAAGACGCAGGAGGATTGCCACAGGTTCAAAGCCAGCTTGATCTAAATAGCAAGTCCCGGGTTAAGCAAGGTCACACGGCTGGTACCTCCCCTCTTTCCGCACGCCCCCCACCTTCTACTTTCATGTCATGTATAGTCTTCACGTGGAAGACAAAACATGCAGCACGTGTCCTTTCGGGTCTTGTTCTATTCAGTATGATGCTCTCTGGTTCCAGCTGTCTTTCCGAAGGCCTGACTGGCTGATGTTGATGGCCCTCAAGGCTCATCCACGTCACAGCCTAGCATGAGCAGCCTTCCCCTCCCTCCTGTGTCGAAGGCTAGGCTCCGTTGGGCATAGGTGCTACATTGTGTTGTCCGTTTACCATCTGTAGTCACCGCCGGCCTCCCTTTCTGACTCTTTAGAAACCCTCTGATGCAGCCTGAGTGTACACATGTCCACCCAGGCTCTCTCTTCTGGGTGTGTCCCTGCGGTTGAGATTGCTGAGTCATTTCGACATTGTTTTTTTTTTTAATCTTGAGAGGTTCATGGGAGGTCACGGTAACTTGATGCCTTCCTGCTTTCACAGGGTTGCTCTGTCTGCTGTGATGGGTTCAGGCTGTGGTGGGGAGCTGGGGGAGCTGGGAGACTGGAGAGAGGGCAGGTGAGGTGCAGGGGTCGAGTAAGGGATGGCAGAGGCTTGAAAAAGGAAGCCTGCAGTCTGGCTTGGGAGGCTACAGGGAGCGAAGAAAGGAACGAGCGGCCGCACGTAAGGAAACTGCAGAAGACACAAATGGAGACGAGCGCCACGGCTGCAGGAGAACGCAGAACCATACTTTCTCTGCCTTCCTTCTCTCCCCCTCCCCTGCCCCTCCTCTCTGTATCTCTCACTTCCTCTTCTTCCTTATCTCCCTTTCCTTCCTTCCTCTTTCCCTCTTTCTTTTTCTTTTTTCTTTTTTTTGGAAAATGTTAGCATTTAATTAATCTCCCTGGGTGGGTCAAGCCACCAGGACACAGGCACCTCCAACACCCTTTATCTTCTCTTCAGCTCTTCTGCTGAAAAATGTGGCTTTCACGATGACAGGCTGCTTAGGGAGCTTTCCCTTCCCCAGAACTTCGTAGCAGCCCCATCGCACAACATCAGAGATGGGAGCAGCTCCAGTCTTGTTCTTGGCAGCACTGACCCGTGTCTGCTCACTGACCACTGTCCACAGCTTATCCAGGTTGACAGTCGGGCAGAAGCTCTGGTTCCTCTTTAAGCGGTAATGCCTCATACCAACTTTACCAAAGTAACCTGGATGGTATTTGTCGAAGTTGATCCTGGGGTGATGCACGCCTCCAGCGTTCCCGCGGCATCCTGGATGCTTGTGGTGTTTACCAATGCGGCCGTGGCCATGGCTCACGTGGCCCCGGGGTTTCCGGGTCTTCCTCAGTCTGGACGGCATGGCGGCGATAGAAAGGAAAGAGCCCTTCTTTCTTTCTAATAATTAAAAAAATTGTGTGTGCACTGGTGTTTTGCCTGCACGTGTGTCTGTGTGAGGGTGTCAGATCCCCTGGAACCAGAGTTACAAACAGTTGTGAGTCACCATGTGGGTGCTGGGACTTGAACTTGGGTCCTCTGGAAGAGCAGCCGGTGCTCTCAACTGCTGGGTCATCTCTCCAGTCCCGTCTTGCCTTTCTTTCTCTCCCTTCCCCATCCCCTCTCTCCTCTTCCTCTTCTTCCCTCCAAATCCTCCCATCTGTGCAGCCCAAGCTGGCCTGAAATCCGCCACCCCCCACCCCTGCCTTTGCCTCCCAAGTGCTGGGATTACATGAAGCCCTAAACCCTACTCAGTTTCAGGGCATTGAGCTAGGTAGGTACTCTCTTCCAGGGCTACCCTGGGACACGAAGGATGGAGCTAAAGGAAGACTCAGGAGAGTCCTTTATTGTCAGTGGCAGGTAGTGCAGAGAGTATTATCATCTTAGAAACTCCTCGGCCACCGGGCGTTGGTGGCGCCTTTAATCCCAGCACTCGGGAGGCAGAGGCAGGCGGATCTCTATGAGTTCGAGGCCGGACTGGACCGACAGCCTCCAAAGCAATACAGAGAAACCCTGTCTTGTAAAACCAAAAAATAAATAAATAAATAAACTCCTCAGCCACATGTGGGCCACTTACCAACTCCTCTTGGCCTCTGTTTCCTCACCTGTAGCGTCAGGGAACACTCGCAGGATGGCTGTGTTGAGCAGGAAGTACCATGGGATGGCGCCAGGCATAGCTCTCAAGGAACACTAGCTACACACTTGTGTATTCTATTCCCCTCACCATGCTTCCTTCAGACAGAGGGAACTGCCCCGAGTAGCCTGAATGGACTCAAACTCACAAAACAGTTTTCAATGTAACTTTTTACTGTTCCTTTATTTGAATGAATTCACTCTACAATGACTGTCCTCAATAATCAAACACTGTGTCTCCTGGTAAATGATTAGATAGAAAAAAGTATAAAGTTTAAACCTTGTGAGGATCTAAGATGATGTTTTAGGTATGTAAATGTGAGTTATAAAGGTTTGAGGATGGGAAAGCTTAGATGAAAGATATTTAAGGTGTATAAAAAGAATGAAAAATGTTCAGATTTCTTTCCTTACTATGCCGCTGTTTTATTAAGACTCCAAAAGTTAAGAGTCTTAACAATAATCAATGGAATTATGTAAGCTATTAATTTAGCTGTGGTAAAGCACCACTACCATTATCATAGTGTCAAGCTCAAGATTTTAAATTCCCTTTCGTTGTTTTCTAAGTATAGACTTAAAAGTGCTTCTTGTGCTAAAAACATGTCTAATCCATATACACCCAGTCTTCTGGACAGAGGAAGGAGTGTTCACGCTCTTAACCAGAATCATTTTGGGGTCCCCTATCGTGAGTCTAGTGCCCTGTCTACAATGTGGGTTTCAGTAGAGATTACAAACAGTGGGAATGTTAACATGTCTAAAACTTTACCTTCTGCTCTGCCAGCACCCTGCCGGGTCCCCTCAGAATCTGCACCCCGGACAGCTTGGAAATGGCTACCCCGAGGTGGTCCAACCTCACAGACAGCTTCAACTGGACCTGGACTTTCCTAGCCGTAGGCTCCGCAGAGCCTGGACAGTGAGTGAAACAGTCTTCTATCCCAGGACTTGGCCGGCGCCCCAGCTTTCTCGGGTCCCCCAAAGATGCTGACAACAGAGACAACAGGAAGCAGCCTAGAGAACACGGCACCCCCTTTCCCGCCTGGCCAGCTACCCGTTCCTCTTTCCTCATGTTTTCATAACAAACGAGAGGATGGAATGTTAGCGTCCCATTAGGCAGCAGCCTGCCCGACTGCCAAAGCAATTAAAGTCGCTTCACCACCTGTCACCAGTTCGCCTCTGAAAAGCTCCGGCCAGGCACGGCCCACTCTCTGGCCTCTTACTCCTTTATCTCCTCTCTTCTTCCTCTCGCCTCTTTCCTGTCCTCTCCGTCTGCCCGTCTGCCGGCCTGCCTCTCTCAAGGTCCACACGGCCTTCAGCTCCTTCGGCCTCTCCCTCCCCTCCTCTCCCCAACAAATCTCTTGCACCAACTCTGTGGCTGAGTGGCATTCTTTGACAAAAGGTACCCACAGCACATTTCTTCCTCTTCTTTCCCCCCCTTTCAATAGCACCACCTTATTTTGACTCTCAGTTCCCAAAGCTGTGAGCTAAATAACCTGCTTTTGCTTGTGTTTATAAGTGTTGTGTGTACAACTTGTGCCCACGCATGTGGGAGCCAGAAGTCATCTTCGTGTGTCTTGGCAATAACTTCTTCCCATTACTTTTTAATAGATTTATTTTTAATTATGTATATGTTTGTTCAGGGGATTATTGCACTCATGCCCACATCCCTCAGAGACCAAAGTGTAACGTGTACTCTTCCTGCTAGCCGCCTGGCCCCCCACCGCTGTCTCAGTCCCCAAATAACACAGGAGACACTATATTAATTATAATGCTGTTGGCTGTTTGCTATGGTTTCTTATCGGCTAGCTCTGACTTAAATATTAACCCATAATTACTAATATTTATCTTTATAAGGGCTTATCTTTCCAAGAATGCCATCCTGATGCGCCCTTTCCTCCGGGGGGGGGGCACATGACGACCCTCACGCTTGACTACATTTCCCAGAATCCTCTTCGACTCCTAGTCCCACCTATCTTGCTTCCCTATTGGCCAACAGTGCCTTATTAACATATACACAGAAGGACTTCCCGCCTGTTGTTGGTGCCAGGGATCTAACTGTGGGAGGCCAGCAATGGCTTTTCACTGCTTGGCCCTCTCCCCGGTGTAGAGAGAAGCCTTCCTGCCAGCCTGGTTCCAGAGCCAGATCAGTTCCAAATGAACACACAGGAGGCTATATTAATTATGAAGCTGTTGGCCATTTGCTTCTTTCTTACTGGCTATCTCTGACTTAAGTATTTACCCCGTAACTGCCAATCTAAGTATTTCTCTTACTGGAGAAAAGTTTCCAGGCTTCTTACTCCTATGGTGGTTACATCGTGACTGTCTGTGTTTCTCCTTCCCAGAGTCCTCCTGGACTCCTAGTCCCCGCTATCTTGCTTCCCTATTGGCCAACAGTGCTTTATTGACATATACACAGGACTTCCGCATCATCTCCTCTTTTCTGTCTAAACAAAAAGAAAGGCTTTACTTTAACATAGTCAAATTATATATAACAGAACAGCTATCAAGCAAGAACACAGTTACAATATTTTGTCTATCAACGTTTAGCAAGATTTGAAGAAAATATCCATCCCATCCTTGTGAGTCCAAAGTTCTATATGTAGCTTATCTTTTATCATAACTAAGGAAAACTATGATTATAACTACTCTGTCTTCAACTCCATCAAAGACCACAGAAGGATAATACATAAATACTAAGATTGACAGAGACATCTTGCTGCCTGGGCAGTCACCCGAAGTTCCTCTGTAACATTGGGGCATCCATCTTCAGCCCATAGGCCACACCGTGTCTGGAAGACTTCTCAGTAAAAGCAGGAAATTTCAAACTGTCCATCTGCATCAGCAGTCTGTCAGTCATTTTTCTGTGTCCTACAGAAAGTCTCGTAGACTCTTCCATGAAGCAGGAACCCTGAAGGACTGTTTGAGTTCAGCAGTCACTTTCCTATGGGTCCTGCATGTCCAGCTTACCCCGGCATTTCCACCTTCATCTTGAGACAGGGTCTCCAGATTCCTGGCTAGCAAGCTCCAGGTGTCTTCCTTTCTTGGCCCTCCAGGGCTGGGATTATAAACACTCACTGCGGTGCTCGGCTTTTTATTTGGGTGATGGGGATCCACATTCAGATTTTCATGCTTACACTTTGCCACCTGGGCTGTCTTCCCAGCCCCCTCCCTTCTCTCTGTCTCTGTCTCTGACTATGTGCGTGCATGCGTGCGTGCATGTGTGTGTGTGTGTGTTTGTGAGTGAGTGTGTGTGCATGTGTGTCCCGCGCTACCGTCTCGCCAGCAAGAACGACGCAGAACACTCGGATCCTTCTGCAGTAAAGCTTTAATGCATCTTGAGAGATAGATGATCAGCTTCTTAGAGGGAGACCCCAAGCTAAGAAACCCAGCCCCTTATATAAGCCTAGGAGCTCCGAGTGAGACGTGTAGAGCCGGGATTGGTGGTTTGCACATCACCCCAGATGACGCCACGGGAGAGGCACAGCTTAAACGGTTAACTCCAACTGACAGCAGATGTCAGCGCCATCTTCTAACGGTTAACTCCAACTGACAGCAGATGTCAGCGCCATCTTCTAACGGCAATAGCGATAGCGAGGGCGGCTCCTCACATCTCCCCCTATTCATTTATTTTTGAAGCAATAGGACACCCACAACTTTGGAGTGGAGATAGAGGTCAAATCCCCATGTGCAAATTCGGAACATGTACAAAGCTCCTCTCCAGGGTCTTATCCCCAGAGAGAGCCCTGACCAGTCCGATGTCGTTTTTCTGGGGGAAGGAGATCATGACATAGAACCTTCATGCAAGATGACTTATCTCCCAGGAGAAAGTCGTTATACCGCAGACCTCTCCTGTGCAGTGCTTAGCCTTGCAACTCCTTGGGCTGCTGAAGCCTACCCACTCTATCCCGTGCAATGAGACTAGCCTCGTGGGGTGCAAGAGCTGGGAGGCCAGCGACCTATTGCTTTAACATGGTTAACCAAATGTCAGGGGAGGCTCCGTGTTCTAAGGCAGCAAGTGCTTGTGCCACCACCACTTTGTCTCTTTTGTTTGGGCTCTGAGCTTACACACCATCCAAAGCATCAACACTATTCCACAGCAGAGAACTAGGCTAAATGATCCTACCCCCACCCATTCCTTAAAATAAGAAAATGCAGATGAAATCCAGGAGGAGAGGCCTTCCATCAGAGAAAGATCCAGATGCGTCGAATTCACTTGCAGGATCGCCATTCTCAACTCACGGAGTGTCTGCTCAAACTCAAAAGTCCAATTCTGTAATAAATGTTGAGACAGAGCTTGTGACAGGTTAGCTGCTCTTGTAAAATTCTCATATTGTACTGAAGTGACACAAAGGCCAGGCAACTTTTGTTCACATCCCAATTGGGCCATCTGCCACAATATATCCAATTGTTCCTGAACCAAATTAATCTGTTGGTTTACCAACATCAGGCCTCCTTGTATCTGAGAATTGGCAGTGGCCTGTTTATCTAGGACCATGGTCACAGTGGCCTATAGTTCATTAATGGTTTGAGTTGTCTGCACAGTGGCAGAAAGTGCAAGGGCCAGGCGGTAACCGAAGCAGTAACCGCGGCGGTGGCTATCAGGCCCACAATAATAGCAGAGATCCCAAAAATCTCGCTTTTCCCTAAACAAACTCAAATTACTTGGCGTCTCAACAGGAACTGGAACAAATCGAGGCATGCGCATTACCAAAGCAAAAGGGTGCTTAATAGCATCCCAGCATAATGCATAAAAACAATTCTAAGCAGAGCAATTTATTTCTTTCTGATTCTTACCTAAGGTATCATTACTCACAACCCAAATAAAGGGCAGCTGAATAATTAGTTCTCTTAAAAGGGGTATACTTAACATTGGAGGAGGACCAATCAGATGATCCATAGCTCTGTCCCTCACTCAGACTGTTGCCTAATGCCCCTTTCCAATCAAAAGTAATCTGTCCCTTCTCACTATCATAGGAGAAAGATCAGTACAGCTTCCATTAATTCAAAAGGATTAGCATTAGATCTTTCTGGATCCATATGAATAAAATTATCCTTTAATGAAGAAATCACAGTAAAGCACAAGCTTCCTACTAATGACAAGGTTCTCTCATCCTGAAAACTCTGTATCTGAGGATCTAAAGGCAAAAAGGCAAGCCCCAACTCTCTATTAGTTGTGAAAAATCTAGGGAACACCTGGGCATTCTGCATCACTGGCATCGGTAGGGGAAGGTAGACATGATGGCCCACCGTAACTCTCCCATCATACTAGGAACCATCATCCCGAGTAGGAGAGTCTTCATCACCCACTTGGCCTCCATCCTTCTTATTCTGGAGTTGTGAAGGAGCTCTTCGAGTGAGTCTTTCAGGGATCCACAGGGGGTTTTCTTCCTCCTGTGGAAAAACACACACAGCTCCCCTGGATCTTATAAGAATAGGATCCGGGCCTTTCCAGAGATCAGTCAAGACATCTTTCCATTTTACCATTTCTTTTGGCCTATCAGGCTCTAAACTGTGGCGATCGGCCGCAGTGTGGCCTTGGGCATCAGAGTTCAAGAAATTAAGGGTAAAAAGTGCCATGGATACAGCAACTCTTGGTACCGAGGGTAGAACATCCTCAATACTCCCCTTTTGTTTAATCAGATATGATTTGAGTGTACGATGGGCACGTTCCACAATGCCCTGTCCTTGAGGGTTATAAGGTAGGCCAGTTAGATGGGTAACATCCATTTGCCGACAAAACTGTCGGAATTTTTGAGAGGTATATGCTGGTCCATTGTCTGTTTTTAAAATTCTGGGTTTTCCCCAAGCACTCCAGGCCTCAAGGCAATGTTGAATCACATATGAGGCCTTTTCCCCTGTTAGGGGTGTGGCGAACATTACGCCAGAACAGGTGTCAACAGAAACATGAACATATTGAAGCCTTCCAAAAGAGGGAATATGAGTAACATCCATCTGCCACATCTGCAATGGTCTAATGCCACGTGGGTTTATTCCCATGTGGGGAGTAGGTAAGAATTCGCAGCAATTCTGGCATTGAGTAACAATTTCCCTAGCCTCTTTCCTGGATAGAGCAAAACGACGGCGCAAGGTCTCAGCCGTCACATGAAAGCGCTTATGGAATTCTTTTGCTGCTTGTGCATGGGTAGACAAGGCAGCGGCCACC